CTGGTGACTTGTACCATCGGGTCAACACCGCTCATGTTCAACATACCAGTCCATTGAAACGGTATATCACTTGAGATCCTCATAATGCATAATTCTACAAGAGGTGTTTTGTTAAACTACTGTGGCAGTGTTAAAGTCACAATCACGTTGCAATGTAATCTGGAGCAAAACATAAAGACCCTAGAATCTCAGAAGATCGGAAGTAAATAATTTGTTTTAGGAAAAATATGAATATCTTTGTAAAACTGAATAACACTTACGGGAATTGTCGATTGACTTCAAACTCTTTACCTTTAACAATCATCATTCGTCGTAGTACACTTTCAATAATCTGTTAAAGNAAAGCAACTAGGCAACAATGTGCAATCATCAAAACTGCTGGCGGTATTCTGACGAAAAACGATCGTGTTCTTTTTGTCAATTTTAGCCGAGCTCATCGATCTAATTGTCTCCGGTTTGGTGATGGCTTTTCTTGCCGTGTTTCTTCTCGATGTCTGTACGACTAATCAAACCCCGGTTCGAGGTTGGATGTGCTGTAATGATTCCTCGATCAGCACAATTGAGGACCCTTCACCAACTAAACCTTCACTGATTATTCACACCGGATGCGAACCTATTCCCGATTGCGCTGATCGACCATCGTCCGTTTGTCAAGCACCACCATCACCTCACTCGTCCACAGATTTCTATCGAACACTTCGGCCATGCGTAGATCACCGAACTAGCAGATCTACGTTTGCTCGACCTTGTACGCTGTGTCCCGTTTGTACCTCCTCAGACTGGCCCGTACTTACACCAACATCCGTACCCAATCAGGTATGATTTTAGCAGAAACTTAGGAATAAAAACGTCTAAACCACTGTGGTCAAAGGAGAAACAGGAGAGCATTTATTTTTCTCCGTTCAAAGGAAAAGTATTTGAAAGGTATCTTTCCTTTTAACTCTCAGATCAAATTAATCCCAGAATGCCATACATGTTCTATGATCAGAGGATTCGTTGTTCATATTAAAGGGTGCATATCATCCGATTTTCACCAACTCCTCTACCAATTCAATGGTATATCTGTAATGGCGAACTTTTGAGTGTTTTTTACCAGTCAGTTTAAGAAATTTTATTGACTTCTACAGATTTTGAATATGTCTTCTGTATACGTATTTTATTCAAAACATCGTCTTATCCTTAGCATAGTCGCAGTAAATACATTCCCTTTTATAGTGGAATTTCATGTGTATAGTACAAACGAAGTGTGAACTGAGAAGCTATACGGCACTGGACAGCTGTTTCGATCGAGTTGGATCTCATCAGTAGTGCGAATCCATCGACCCGATTGGGGATCGGACCTAGGACCTTACCGAAATACAAGTGTATTACCCAATCGAACACCAGGCAGCTGTTCAGAACATTTTTCATGTTCATTCTATACAGTATAGCATAATCTATTTATAGGAGCTTTGTGCGATTATCGGTTTTCACTCAGCTGAAAAGTAGTAACTGGAGTTATTACTCGGTTGAACAAATTTCGACCCGACTACTTGTAACATGAGAGAGTAGTGGATGATCTGATTCGACTTGATAGGGGAATTCGTCACGTACAGGTGAGAACAGATGTACACGGCTTCCAGATCAAACTTCATTGGCTCTAAACACAACGAATTTCACCGTAAAATTGAATAAAATACTCCACTAGTCTTAAGAAACATTCGCTTTTATTGATAGGCCTTGTATAATGCAATCAGGATGAGGGTAAAGGTGTACATCCAAGGCCACTATTTATCTGCATCTCCACAAGGTATCGTTTTGATTTCGATTTATTTTTTATCCTCACCCCGTCTAATATATTCTTACTCAGTAAATAACCTGAACACATTTTTTCCATGGGTTATAGCAGAGAGTATGTATGGATTTGTGATGCAATCCTGAGGATCCAAACAGGACGAAACAACTGTTCAGTGCTCTGTGTCAGTTATCACAATCACTTCCATTGCATTTAAATGCATTGAACCAGTGTGGAATTAACGATCTGCCAAAAGGGGGAATCCCCACCTAAGACCATCAAGAGTGGCCGTTGCCTCTGAACAGTCGAAGGAGCTAATCCAAGCTTGATATCCTACTAATCAAAGTTTGCATATTCATAATCCATTGTGGTTGTTTGAGGACATTCGAAAGGGGAACGTTAGCACAATCCGCTTGCCACTTTACAGATCAGAATCAGATTGATGGTGGGTCGTATGCGCACCACGAAGGAATATCAGGAAAACAACATTTCCTACACATCAGTGGCAATGTTCACAAACGTTAATAAACAATTCATTTGGATCGCATTTGGTGTTCTGCTAAAACCAAAGTGGAATGAATGATCTACCAAAACATAAATCTGCCCCCATGATTTCAAAGGTCATTCCATGGTACACCACTGAGTCCCAAAACATAGGTGAGTTAGAATGGGAAATCAAATAGCCGGTAAGACCTGAGTTTTCCACGTGAATGAGACAACTATACATCTTCAAGAAATGCGTTTGAATTGATGGTGCACACGTGATTCGGTTGTGAATAATGTAGGCCAGATTGAAACAATCCCTAGTTGACAAAAGGCGACAAAGTACGCAAAAAGTCTTTTTCGGGTTGTGATCAACAATAAGCAAAACATACAATAGACTACAGTGAATACACCTCAGATGCGTTGATTTCATTGATTTCAGTCGAGCATTTCTTGCTCAGTACAACCCGCTTCAAACCAGGGCCACTGTATACATCAAACACAGGCGTTCTGTGAACAATCTCGAACAGATTGTATTTCAATCATGGATACGGATTCTGGAAAACCATCGTCAGCCACAACACATCCATCATCCTCGTTGGAATCAAATTCCATGAACAGATGGGAGCAACCGGGAACCTCAACCAGTCGTTCAAGTACACTGAAATGTGGTCTATTCTTAGAAAGCCCGACTTATTTGGTGCCATCGAATCTCATCTCCGGGCCAATGTATGAGCATCAAACCAGGCAGCCAAATATCGGTGGATCAATAAGAGGTGAGCTGCATGCGGTCAGCACTTATTCACATCGATTGCAGTATTGGGAACTGTTGTCCTCAACGCTATCCCGGTTGCGTTTATAAAAACGTATTGATTTCCTCAAACTGTAGCCTATTTTAGGAAAGTGTCGTTAATGAAATTTTTTGGATGACAGCAAAATGTTTTGACATTTTACAGATTGCGATTTTAACCTAAACAATAATCTGTTATCTTCGTTCGTTGGGTTGGATTACTGTCTTTTGGTTGTTCATTTAACTGACCGACGAGAAATAATTCCATATAAAAGTAAATGCTAAGAGCAATATCGGATTGAAAATACAAACAATCGGGACTCTACAAACCTAATTAAAAAGAAGAACGGATATGCGAGCGGTATTGTTCATGATAATCAGCTACATCACATGCTGGATTAAACTACCATCAGGATTCCTACTCGAACGTCACTGAAAAGGATAAATCACCTGGTCAAGGGTTTTATTGCCGTTCATGCCTATATTTCCATTTTACCATCGTGGGATTTATGAAGTCCATTAGGTCACAGGCTAAACACGGCATATCGAGGAAGGTTAACGAGTGGTACGTCTAAAACGCATCCATCATTGCAGCTAGTCGAACTTTTGATTATTTTTACCTTTGTATAAATCGCAATTTGAAAATTTATTTGAATATTTCTTGGAAGGCACTGAACCATTTGTTTCCGTGAACGAACGTCATAATGATACATCGTTTGTTTCGTATTATAGTATTAATAGTACAAACAGTACAATAAATTGTGCTAATATAAAAATAATTAAATTAAAAAAATAATAACTTTCTAGTCAATCGGCCCAGTAAAATGTGAGCCTCACTTTTGCATTTTTCTTATGGTATGCAAGATGTCCTTTGGTAGAGAAATGAGACTGTATTCTAGGGTATGGAGAAAGCATGGGTTTGATATTATATAATGAAATATGGTATTCCACGTATTCAAAGAATTTGCTTTGATTTTTTTTCACCTGGAACAAGATTTAAATGTTCTACTATTATCTCTTTTCTTCTTTAACCGTTTCCTTTATTTTTTTCCTTTGAAATGAAGAATATTTTTTCATTCTCTGTATATATATGTATGCATGTATAATGATAGTATTGATTTCTTAATGGACTGGCTCTGAAAGAGCTGTCTATCCAAAGTCACCCGGTATTACAAACAAGATTATTGTGACAAAAATACACTGCTTGGGTACAACTATATTAATAAACTTTCAAACGATTGCCGGATATACATACCTGACGAGTGACAAAAACCGCGAAATTGGTTTTGTGCCTCCAGGGAAATATTGTCTGTTCATTCATATACTACTTATTAGGCAATATATATGTAAAGAGAGCGCAAGAGATACGCTGCCAAAGTAACCATCACGTTTTGCTTGCCACGTATTCTTTAGAACACAAGTTACAATGATTCATAATCATACCTCTCTGTATGATTTCTTTATCCTTCTCTGGACTTGACTCTCAACAGTCCAACTTACATTCCAAATA